AAAGGATTCTAAGTTACTCTTCAACATGACCAACAGTGAATTTGACCGTCACAGCATTGACGCTGAACTACTTCATGTTCTCCTATAGACACAAATGCCCTAACAACTGGACAAGTCGGTGCACTGCTCACATACATACGCAGGTGCATTAATGTGCAAGATGAAACACAAGAACACACAAGCAAGCATTATGCACACACACACCATGCATAAATGCAAGTACAACCATACTCAAGTGTAAATACACACGTGCGTGTAGGCATTGATTTTTCAGCTTGCAACCCTGGGTAGCAACATGAACTTTGGACTAATCCCCTCTAAACATCACTGAGGGTGATCATAGTAAAACTACTGGCATCTGACTTGAAATCAGTGTAGACTGGAGATTGAAGCTGGGCTTTTCGTGGTTTGCATCCTTCAGGTGGCAGTACATTACAAAATGAGCCATTGTAGCAGTAGTGAGGGAGGCACATAGGAACTTTTTAAAAGCCTGAGGTAACTGGTGGGCAGTCTCAACTTACTTTGGCCTCCGCATCAACAAATTAAGTACAATCTGACAATCTGTATCTTTTAGATACTTACCAACATCTCAACACACCAAATAATTACTTTCTGGTTGTAGAAACATATTTCTTTTAACTCCAGTTTTGGCACTCTCTTTATCCTGGGTCTTGCATTATTTGCATGCACCATCCATATCTGTAGCTGTCCTAGATTTTCACACCATGTTAGTAAACACAAATTCATAGGACTTGGGTTCCCACAAGATGTTTAGTTCAAGCTGTGCAACTATCTTGTATTCATACTGGTATGGGCTAAATAAAGAGGCTGTTCTGCCCAACTACTCCACTGGTGGAATGTGTAGATTTATCAACTCATTTCACTCATTCTATGACCCAGAGAACGTTTGAAGTAAGGCTGTCCAGTTCCCCCAAAAAATTAAAAGAATATTCCTTCTCAGGTCTCCAAAACAACTGTAGTCCATTTCTCCCCAGAAAGCACCAACTCCAGAAGAATCAAGAGTAGACGTATGGTCCAAGGGTAGTAGGTACGACCTGGTTGGTCGATGGGAGGGATGAATCCGGTTACTGGCTGGAAAGGAGGGTCAGAAGGTGGAATGGAAGGGAGGAGGTGGGGCAGGAAAGGGAGCCAGGGGATGGGTGGGAAGGTTATTTGAATTTGGAGAACTCAATGTTGGCTGTTACAGGCCAGGCGAAGATGCTCGGTGTAACAGTCACCTCGTCTACGTTTGGTCCCACCGATGTAGAGAAGGCCACATCAGGAGCACCAGATGCAATAGACAAGGTTGGAGGAGATGCAGGTGAAGCTCTGTCTCACTTGGAAGGACAGTTTAGGGTCCTGAATGAAGGTGAGGGGGGTAGTGGACAGGTATTGCATCTTTTATGGAATTATGCTATCACCCCTCCCCCTCTCTTTATCTGCAGCTCCCCCTACTCCCACATCCAATCTTGAAGAAGTGAATATCCAAAACGTTGACTTCTCCTTTCCTCCAGATGCTGCCCGGCTTGCTGTGTTCTTCCAGCATCCTGTTTGTTTACCTTGGATTCCAGCATCTGTAGTTTTTTTGTCTCTAACCCAGAAGGATCCAGGTTGTATTCTAAGGAGTGCCTGAATATCTGTCTTTAGCTACTATTCCCAGGTAGTCAAAATATTAATCCAACACATCAAGTAACTCCCACTCATTACTAGCATATCCATGTCATGCCCTTTTTGCATTTCACAGGAACCACATGATCAAATACCTAGTTGTACTGTTATCTGTCTTGTTGGGCCTTATTAGGAATCAAACAGTCAGACTCTGCCCCAGTGATGAAATGTAACTCCAGGTGATTTCCCGAAATTTCCATCCTGCTCGTACGTGTTGTCTTCCATGCAGTGACACTTCAATAGTCATAGCAGATCAAAGGCTATTAATGTTTCTGACACACTGTTTCTGACCAGATAATTATGTACGTAATCTTTTTTAAAGGACTTATAAGACTGAATGATTGCTTGTGAATTATTTTGTAAAATTGAGCATTTGTGAGGAATGGGTTTTGCAGAGTGATGCATCAAATGTGGGGAGCATGTTCCCTTCAAGCATGTACTTCATAAAATTCCATACCACACATATGTTCCCCTGGCAACCAATCTACCACTAATGAGCTGGAAAGGCAATCCAACTAATTAAATAAGGTCCCTGTACTCATGGTCATGGAAACAAACCAATGTTTTCTGCCTTTGAGAAAGGTTGCTGTGTCTCACATCATTTGAATCTTTGGTTGACGTGCTAGCTTGGGCTCAATAATTAGCACTCTTGCCTCTGTCTGAAGGTCATAGGTTCAAGTTAACTATAGAGAATTCATGCAGATAATCTAAACCAGTGCTCCTTTGCATTACTGTGGGAGTGCTGCACTGATATAGATGCTGTCTTGGGTCCTATACAAGGGCCAGTGGCACTACTTCAAAGAGAAGCAAGTGAGTTCTGTTTAGTGTCTTCTCAAAAGTTTATCTGTCAACAAACATTGCTAAAAATACAAATTATTTGGTTATTATCACATCACCACAACAAAAGCAAAATACTGCAAACGCTAAAAGTCTGAAATAAAAACAATTGCCAGGATTATTCAGCTGTTCATGCAGTGTCTATGGAAAGGGAACAAAGTGAACTTTTCAGGTTGAAGACCTTTCACTGCATTATTAAGCATTAGAGATGTGAAAACTTTCAAACAAGCACAACAGTCAGGAGGGCAGAAGTTATTAAATGACAAACATAGGGTGGTAATGAGACAAGTAGAGAAGAAACAGAAGATGGGCTAGGGAGATGTAAATAGCATCAACAAAACCATTACCAGTAGCTGCTCTTCAAAAACAAGTGGGAGCAATGGTTATGATCTGAATCTTTTGAAATCAATATTGAGTTTGGAAGGCTGTAAAATGGTAAAACATAACATGAAATGCTATCGTCTAGCTTCTGTTGAAGAGTGGAGAACATTAAAGTATGTGTGGTTGAGATTAAAATGGCAAGAGAATGGTCAAAGTTATATAAACAGACTGAACAGTGCTGTTCAACAATGTTATCACCCAATCTACAATATTGTTGTTGTTGGAAATATTTACTTGCACCAGAAGTGGTAGAGTGAAATTTCAGATTAGGTCCTGGATTAAAAGGGTTGTCCTATTGAAGAAAGCCTAAGTAAATTAGGCCCATAATCTCTCAAATTCAAAAGAATCAAAGGTGATCTCATTGAACATACCAGATTCTGAAGAAGCTTAAGAACATAGACACTTACACAGAGAGTGGTTTGTATGTGGAATGAACGTACAGAGGAATTGGTGGATGTCGGTACAGTTACAACATTTAAAAGACATTTGGATAAGTATATGAATAAGAAATGTTTGGAAGGATATGAGCCAAGCACAGATAGGTGGGACTAGTTTAGTTTGGGATGATGGTTGGCATGGACTAGTTGGACCAAAGGGTCTGTTTCCGTGATTGAAATCTATACCAGTCTTGGGATAAGAAGTTCATTATTTAGGGCTGAATTGAGGGGAAATTCCTTCATTAAATGAGTTGTGAGTCTTTAGTTTTCTTGGGTAGAGAAGGCTATGGCTGCTCCGTCAATGAATGTAGTTGAGGCTGAGACATTTTTTTGATCTCTTTGGGGAACCAAGCAATATGGGAAGTGGGCAGGAAAGTGGAGCCAGAAGATCAATGATCATATTGAATGGTGGCACAGGCTTGAGGGGTGGAATTGTACAATCCTGCTCCGATTTCTTGTGTTCTTACGAATGGACAAAGTGTTGTGCTGGCAACTGTCCATTTAGAATGCTGGAAAAGAAGAGGAAGGGAAAATATGTTTGATAGCATCATGTTGAAATGATGGAGGATCATCTGTTGAATATGGAGACTGGTGAAGGAAAGGTGAGAGTAAGGTAAACCTGATTGTGATTCTGGAGTCAATGAAACTAAAGGACATATTGATGGACAATCTGTCCTAGCAACTGAGATGGAGAAGTTGAGGAAGGAAAGAAAAATGTCATAGATGGACCATGTGAAAGCAAGAGAGGTTGAAATTTGGATCAAAGTTGATAACGTTTTCTAGTTCAGCATGATAACAGGAAGTAGCACCGACCTAGCTGTCAATATATCAGAAACAGGAACATTGAAACATAGTAACTAGGTAACTGGGCTAGTTGGTCTGGACCAACAATTCCAAAGACACAACTTCCCACTGTGAAATTTGGAGAATTTAAACTGGAGCAGCCATAGCGTTCTCTACCAAAGAAAACTAAAAATTCACAACTCATTTAATGAAGGAATTTCTCTTTGACTCAGCACTAAATAATCAACTTCTTATCCCATGACTGCTCTAGATTTCAAGCATGGAAACAGACCCTTTGGTCCAACCAGTTTATTAAATAAATTGGAACTAGAAAAAAAACTAATATCAGTCATGATAATGATGTTCAGAAGGAAACCTGCAACCCTTTCCCATATTGGCCTTTATGAGACTCCAGACTGACAACAATGCTGTTGACTTCTGAAATAGCCTAGCAAAACTCTTACCGCTTACTCACAGGCAACTAGGGCATTAACTGCTGGTGTTGCCAGTGAATTAATTCTAATATCCTGTGAATTAATTTTAACTAATAGAGGGTGAGGGAGGGGACATGTATAGAATTGGAACAAAGAATATTCCATGTATCCTATCAAAAGCAGGCATAGTTGGGACTCGTATGAGTTCCCATAGCAACACCTTGTAATGGAAGAAGTGAGTGGAGTTGAAAGAGTTGTTCAATATAAGTTCAGACAGGCGAAGAAGGCTATTATTTCACATTGCTGCTTGAAAGAGCTTACTGTGTGAAATTTAGTTACCAAATTTCCTACAGTACAACAACTTTTATGCTTAAAGTATTTTGTTAGCTGTAAAATGTTTTAGAACATCCAAGCATTGTGAAATATGTTATATAAATGCAAACCTTTTTCTGTTTTGCAGGTTTGATCCCTGGTCTGCTGAGGTACGTAACATGGTCTTTAATCACAAAGATTACTCCTTTTGATCCTGTGGAATTATAACACAATGGACTAGTTCACCATTCATAATGCATGAATCACATGGTGTATGGATAGCAACAGTAGTTCTTTTTTAATCCTATTTGTATTCTACAACAGCACCATCTCCTGGTCCCTTGCTAAATGTTTCAGGATTCTCATTGTGGAAAATTCTTTTGGAATGCTGTCTCTAGTTCAGACAGTCATCTGAGAGAAATAGCTTTAGATCTTTTCTTCAAAGTATTTCTACAAAATAAGCCACTGCTTGAACCTGTTGTTTTTCATATTTACAGATTATAATTCTGTTGAGTTTGCTGATGTATTTTGAGGAGGATTGCTGTTGTTTTTAGTGAATTTTGCTCACTTAGGTGAGATTTGCCTTTTGTATTTTTCTGAGCTTAATTGTTACACTGTTGGTTAATTTTAATTTTGTATTTTAGTAAGGTTTGGTGTTATTTTGATGATTCAGAGTTGAGAGGGCAGACAGGACCTCCATCATATATCAACAAAACAACATTTCTCACAGCACAGCATTCCCTTGGTATCTCTTTGACTCGATGGGTCAGTCTCAATTACCAATGCAGGCCTCAGGAGTGGTCCTTTAAAATCTACAACCTTCTGATTCAGGAGGAAAATTTGCTTCCAACTGAGTCAAGGCTAAGTTAACAATTCACACAAGGAAGACCCCAACATTCTGACACTAACTACGAGAGTAAACCTCCCAGTATCACAAGAGTGCTGTGGAGAAATTCTATAAAGCCATAAACTCAATGGAGTCTGGTGAATTTGAGGAAACTACGCCTTACCGTAACAGGAGTAGGGTATCCAGGGATAGGACAGGTAGTGAGAACGTGCATATTAAATGACTAATTGGAGTCCAGACTAGGAAGGGCTCAAATATATTGCTGTCTGCTCTGGATGAAATTCCTGGTCCTAATTATTCATCTTAACAAGTCTGCTGGAATGTAAAAGCAATGATATTGAATTAAAATAGATGAGGTTTAACCATGATGTCTCAATTGTAGAACTTACAGGTGCAGCATGTGAGCTTAACTGTCCATTATTTGCACACAAGGGTGTGATGTTTCAGTAAGATCTGGTATGTTTCAATAAGATCATCCCTCTTTCTTCTAAACTCTAATGAATAAACACCTAACCTATTTAGTCTTACTTGGTAAGTCAACCCCTTCATCCCAGGAATCAGCCTAGTGAATCTCTTTTGAACTGCCTACAATGTCAGTACAGATATTTTCTAATCAACCAGCATAGTGTCTCAGTGGTTAGCACTGCTGCCTTACAGTGCCAGGGACCCAGGTTTGATTCCAGCCTTGGGGCACTGTCTGTATAGAGTTTGCATGTTTCCCCACGTTAACTTGGGTTTCTGCTGCGTGTTCCAGTTTCCTCCCACAATCCAAAGATGTACAGGTTAGGTTGATTGACCATGCTAAATGACTAGGGATGTGTAGGTTAGGTGGAATGTGGGGTTATGGGAATAGAGTAGTGGGCTGGGTCTGGGTGGGATGCATTTTGAAGCAAGTGAGAATTGAACTCAGGCTTCCCGTCTCAGAAGTGGGGACACTATCACTGTGTGCCACAGGAGCCCTCAATCCAATATCAGTGTATCCTTTGTTAAATTAGGGGATTAAAACTGCATACGGTATTCCAGGTTCACCCTCACCAACATTCTACGCAGCTGTAACAAGGGTTCCCTATTTTTAAACTCCAAACCCCTAGTAGTAAAGGCTAAGTTCCAGTTGCCTTCTTAATTACTTTCTGCAACTGCTTGCTATTTTTAAATGATTCATGGGCAAGAACATCCAGATTGCTCTGTGCTCCACTTTTTTGGTGTCTCCTTCCATTTAAATAATAGTCTGTCTTTTGATTCTTTCCACCAAAGAGTATGACATCACACCTTCCTACAGTTGAATTCCATCCACTACATTTTTTTGTCCACTCAATATATCTGTATCCTTTTGCAAGATTCCTTATGACCTCATCACATCATGTACTCCCACCTATTTTTGTATCATCAGCAAACTTACACTATGCCCAGTCTTCGATGTCATTCATGTAGATAGTAAATAACTGAAGCCTGAGAATGTTTTTAAAAAAAAAAAGGACATGAGGGGTAATCTTTTTACACAGAGTGTGGTTCAAGTGTGGAATGAACTGCCAGAGGAAGTGGTTAGATAAATACATGAATAAGATATGTTCGGAGGGATATGGGCCAAGCACAGGCATGTGGGACTAGTCTAGCTTGGGACTTTGTCAGCATGGACTGGTTGGACCTAAGGGTCTGTTTCCGTGCTGTATGACTCTATGTCTCTGTAACTAAACTTTGTGGCACTCCACTAATTACATATTTCCAAACTGAAAAAGACCCATAAATTCAGACTGTCTGTCTTGTGTGTTGGCCAAACCTCAATATGCATTAGTCTTTCATGTGGCATCTTAATGAATGTCTTCTAGAAATCTAAATACACACTCTGCTCATCATATCATCAAATATCTTTAGAAAATGTCAAGAATGATTTCTCTTTCACGAAACTACGATGACCCTTTTTGATGATATTAAGATTTTCTATTTAACAATGGACGCTAGCATTTTCAGATGCTAAGCTAACTGGCCTCTGGTTTCTGGCTTTCTGTCTCTTTCCCTTCTGGAATGTGTCAACCAATGCTTACACTATTTCTGCAGTCACTTCCCTTAAAACCCTTGAAAGCAGATGATCAGGTGCTGGTGATCTGTCTGCCTTTTGTCCCATTAGTTTGTCAAATACCTTGCTCTTCATGATAGAGACTGTTACAAGATCTTTCTCCAAATGACATGTTGCTTATCTGTGGTCTTCAAGATATTTATAGTGATCTTGATAGTAAAGACTGATGCAAAATATTAGTTTATGTTATCTGCTATTTCCCTGTTCCCCATTGTATCCTTCAAGGATCTCACACTTACTTTAGCTACTCTCTTTTCATACATTTGTAGAAGCTCTCACTGTCTGTTTTACTTATTTAAACCACTGGGCCAATCAAACGAGAAACAGAAGAAATACCTACCCATCACCTACCTGGTTTCTGGACATCACACTTTGGCTCTAAACAGGTAGAAACAGGTCAAAGGAGTTGTCTGACACCAGTTTTTATCTCCCCCACCAGTGCTGCACCTCCTATGCAGGTTCCATATGTTTGGCCTTCCTCTCAGCCACCAGTTTTTATCTTCCCTTGCCACTGCCCTTCTCACACTGGTCTGGTCTCTGTGTGCTGGCCCTCAAATCTACCTCCCACAGATAGAAAATTCAAACAAATTTTAAACCAAACAATTTGACAAACATGTTTACAAACTTTTATTCAGGTGAAAAATGTTTAGTTATCATACAATGGAATTAAGGGAGTATTAAAAATGACCATCTTTTCCCCATGCCTTCCAGATAATTTGTAACCACTCTACAGATGTCTATGTACACTGATATCAAGAAGTTTAAAATGGCTATATGTGGTACAAAAATAACCATTATATTTCTATAAAAATATATCAAGTCTTCAACATTTTACAGAACCAGACTATCACTTAGTGAAGGAGGTAAGTGAGTATTTACAAGGTCTCCATATGCTGGCTGTTTATGGTGCTCATACATACACATTGATCTCCAGGTACGTCATTTTGACTTTGTTCAATAGTATTGCAAATCAGCAATGACTGGGAAATAAAAGTGAGGACAAGGACAAGGACAAAATAGGCTGCCAAAACGCTATCACCCAATTTTCACTACTACTCAAATTGAAAAGGATATCCATAGAGTGCACCTCACATCTCGAAAAAGAGAGCGTTCAAACTGTCAACATTTTTTGAGCAATGAAGGTAATCAATGGATTAAAAGATATAAAATGTTTAAATATCAGAGAGGCAAGTGGAGGAAGGTCAGCAATCAGAGTGTTCTCGCAAAGTGTGACTCACACTCTGTCACCAAGGGATGACTTCCTGAAGGAGGGACAATGAAAGGGAACTTCAGCCAAACCACAATGCTTCTTACTTGCTTGGCAAATTTGGGAAATTTCGTTTCTCGCACTTGGGCAGAATCTTCGTACTTGATTTCAAGATAAGCAGCAGATTCTGTCTGTTCAAACACAGCTTGTATTTGGATATAGTATTCAAACTATTCAACATCAAAACCAACAGGTTCTCCAATGTCCTGGTTGGATAGTAATTGGCATCTTCAAAACCTCCCTATTCAATTCACATCAAGCCCATCTTTGGCCTGGTCAATATGCTGACTGGTTATGCACTACATCTGTCACCTCCCACCTTAACAAGAGTATTGACAATGTTGACCCTGAGCAAATACAGAGTCCCTTCCTCCGCATTGACCTCTCATACTCAGGACAAAAAAAAATTCAATTCAATTGTCTTTTTATATGTGGTGCGACATTATGAACATTGACTATGACCGTTAAATTTGTTTGTTGCACCTGGGTTAATCCATTTAAAATCAATGGATTGGTATCCTCTAATAAAACAGCAAATGGAGAAATCTGAAACAAACACATTGACTGAACACCATTACTCCACATGTAATTTTGAGGACAGAGTAATCTGTTCCCATGCTACCAAGGGAGGGAGAGAAGGAAATTATTGGGAGCCACATACTTGAATTCCTAATGTGCTCTCAGGTATTGTAGATATCAATTAGCTTTAGATTGGTCAAGGTTCCTGAATCAGCATTCAGTTTTTACTGTACAATATGACCCAAATCAGACACTTAGTTCCACTGTACTGTTTTTGTACTTTTAATGCCATCTCTGGTTCTTGTAGAAATGTTTTTTTGTGTATACAACTGACTTGTTTCACACTCAAATCCTTGCCTTCTATTGATCCACTTCTTTCATAATTAACTGCAATTCCAATACATAATCTGGTCAAACAAAAATTAAAATACAGAACCACAGAAACCGCACTGCAGTATTCTTCTTTAAACAAAATTATTTGTGCCAGTCAGTTTTGCAACACAATATAATTTTAACAGCATTTGAAATATATTTTGTCTTTTCTCTCTGTACTTTTCCAATGTAATTCTACTTGTTTCACCCTCTTTTCAGCTGATTGTGCCTCATCCATTTACAACAACAAAACAAAGGTCACACTTAGCTTTTTATGTCTCTATGCTCTAAGCTGCTGCAATCAGGATCATCTTTTTATTCTTGGAGTTGTTGAATATGGAGCTTTGGCTTTGATTGGATTCAAGATTGAAAGTGTGTTTGCACACACTGCATCCATTTGCAAAATTAATCTCATTATAAAGATGGGTAATACTAAATTTGCCTGTCCTTCAATGTTTTCTTACATAATCCTTGAGTCCAACTTAACAGCAAGTGACCATACAACAACGTGCTATCATTTAGCAGAGACAAAATGTCCCATGGTGCTTCGCAGAAGCATAATTAGATAGAAAAAGACATTGAGGCAAGTAAGAGATATTAAGAACATAAGAACAAGGCGCAGGAGTAGGCAATTCTACTCCTTGAGCTTGCTCTGCCATTTAATACAATTATGGCTGATCTCATCTGTCTCTAATCCACTTTCCTGTCTGCTCTTCATAACCTTTCAACTCATGACCAATTACAAATCTGTCTATCTCCTCCTTAAATTGACACAATGCCCTGGCATCCACCATACTCTGGGGTCGTGAATTCCACACATTCATTACTCTTTCAGAGAATTAATTTCTCCTCATCTGTTTTAAATCTGCTATCCCTTATCCGATTAGGAAGGGTGACTAAAAAAAAAAATTGGTCGAAGAGGAAGGTTTGATGATTAAAAGACAAGCAAGAATCAGAGGGGTGCAGAGATAACAAGGAGGGTTATAGCACGGAAGGTGCTTACAGAGATCTAGTGGGATGATGTCATCGAGTGACTTGAGCACAAAGTTGAGGATTATGAATTTGAGGTGTTGGGATAATCAGAAGCCAATGTGAGTAAGCACAAGGCAAGTGGGATTTGCTCTGGGTTAGATTCTGGGCACTAGGGGGTTTTCATGATCTGTAGTTTTCAGAATGTTGAGAATTGGAAGATGGACAGTAGAGCAATGGAATAAATCAAGTTGGTTACAACACAATAAAAGCACAAGAAGTGCATTCATGCAACATTTATACTGTATGCTCTTCTGGCAGTTTTAAATTTGTAACTTGGGTTTAAAGCACACATTATTAAGGGCAGGGAATCTTAAGCAGTAAAGGATAGATTGGGGGAGAAAGATAAAGAATGGTCTTGGTTGAGTTGCAAAGAACAGCACTCATTATGGAGTGACCAGCTTGAGTAGGAAAAAGTAAGGCTGATCTTATCATTCTTTGTACCATTCCAGTGAGGCTGCATCAGCAAATGACTAAACCCAGCAAAAACTGCAAAACCTGTGATACACCCAACGTCCAGACAAAAGATTAGAAGGCACTGAGATATTTCTTCATTTAGCTTGGGCACAACTCTGCCCAAATATCTTGGACCACATAAACATTACTGACCTCTTCTCGGAGGCAAGTTTGGAACATCTTGATGCTGTTGACACTTTCAGCTTGTCATGGCTAACATTTCCCCTCCATTCAGTGTATACACGCAGTTGACCAAGTCAAACCTGGTCACATTATTTCCTCAATCCGATCAAAATGTTTTGTATAATATTCTTAATGTTAAAATATTACATTGGGGAACAATTAGGGCTTTGTAAACGATATCATCGTTTGAAAGAGGATTTGCAATCAAATTCAGAGGTGCATTCAGTCTATATCCTGAGGAGCTGTTGAATGCTCCAATGAAAAACCTCCCATTATTTGATCCAGAGTTGATTCCGGATTCCGGGAGAGTGCCTGGTAAGTTATCCTGAACGTCAGTTGGTTCCAAAGCTTTTGACACCAAGTTTTTTTGCCTGGATAAAAGTCTGTAACTTGATGGTATGATCAGATAAGAAACTTGGGAGGCAGAGTTCAGTAGAATTCTAGGAAATGGTTGACCAACACATAATGGACCACAAGGCCTCCTTGAGTACTGTAACTAACGGAAGGCAAAGCATGGATAACATGCACATCAAAGATCAATGAATAATCCTGGCCCAGCAGAATTATTTACATTCCTGACCCTTAGATTAGTTCACTATCCCTCAGCTCTAAAAAAGGTTCCAATAACTTTACCAAATTGGCCAATTAGGATAATTCATTACTTATATACTCCACAACCTTGAGCATTAAAGTGAAAGGCCTCTTCACAATAGATTGAACCTCGTGAATAAATGCTATAATCTCTTAAATGAGTAGTAAAGCACTTCTGTGAATCCATTTGAACTTAAAAATTACTTGCAGTTGCTGCCATGAACATTCATCAGATTTCAGTAAAATGCCACTTGCATTAACCCAATGCCACTTGCATTAACTCATTTGAACTGTAACAGGTGATATTTACCAAAATTCCTAGTTGGAATTGGATATGCTGCTTCTCAAGTAGATGAATCCTTATCAATACCAATAACTAGGCCAGTAATCAAAAATCAGAGTCAGCATCTATCAACTCTGTGTCCACTAGATTTGTTTTGGAATGTACAGGTGCAATAGCAGTCCTTCTGTTCTCGGATCTTGGTATGTGAGGGATATTAATTACAGGGAGTCTTCCAAACTCCATATTGGCTGAGGAATGGGGGAATGGATTTTTACATGGTCTCTGAGGAGGCCGGAGTTGATCTCCTCGGGGAAATGCCAGCTCATCCTCCAAGATATCATCATTTGAAAGAGGATTTGCAATCAAATTCAGAGGTGCATTCAGTCTGTATCCTGAGGAGCTGTTGAATGCTCCAATGAAAAACCTCCCATTATTTGATCCAGAGTTGATTCCGGATTCCAGGAGAGTGCCTGGTAAGTTATCCTGAACGTCAGTTGGTTCCAAAGCTTTTGACACCAAGTTTTTTTGCCTGGGTAACTTGGGCAAGTGTGGAACAGTGCTGGATGCTCTCTCTGTGCAATAGCCCATGTCACGCATCTCCTCCGTAGGCCCAAGAGGTCTAATGCCTTTCTTCCTCTTTTTCTTCTTCTTCTTCCCAGATTTCCTCTGTAGTTCTGGGGGAATCTCGGCTTCAATGATCCAGAGGTTCCTCTTGTTCTCATCTGGTGGCACTGAAATGGGCCAAAATGGAGTCAGACAAGAATTTCAAAACTATCTCTACCACTCAATTTAAAGCATCACAGCCCACAGTAATCAGGACCCTTCTAACCTCCTGGACTGTGGCCTTTTAAGTAGGAAAGTGGCCATAATAACCCAATAATGTTTGCTAAGGGTGTTAGTGCTGATATAGGTGCATAGTTTATACAGATACACTGGTTAGCTTCATAACTGATAACCATAGTAATTCCAACTCTGGGCAGTCACCTGACCTGCTTTTGCAAGTGATATGTGGGATCCAGCTGTAGGTGGATGTGTGTTGGAAGTGGTGGGGGTTGAATATAAATCGTTGCCAACCTCCCAACACCAATTTGCCATGAGACAGTTGAAAGTTCAAACTGCTCTAAAGAAGTCATGCAACCTTGTAAGAAAGTTAAATTGATTTTTGATGTATCAATTGTTTCTCACCTGGTGTCCCTACTGGAGTGACAGAAATGTCCTGCGGTAAAATAGCTCCCCTTCTGGCCACCATCTTTGTTATGTGTTGAGCCCAGGCAGATGAGAGGTCAGCAGATGGTTCATTCAAGTCAAAGTTGATTCCAGCTGAAAACATAGCATGACTTTCAGATATTGATTCCTCTCTCCTTAGTTTCCTCCCTTCCCCTCTTCTGTTAGGTATTTTAAGTTAAGCCTCACCTCCCATATCATGTCTTGATGTGATTATGAAACTAATGCATAGTCAGGTGTCTAGTAGTAATGTTTTTGTTTAAAGTATGTCCATTTTCATATATTCTAATGGGACAGATGTAAATCACTGCCCGTGAGCTATATGCACTGAGATAGTTTTTAGATTCTCATCCATGAATTCAAATCTCTCCAAGGCCTTAACCCCAATTATAACCCTAACGCTTTGCCATTGTTTAGGGGATTGGGAAGCAAGTTGATGGGGGAGGGGTAGATTTATGGGGGGTGATGCAGTGGCATATTGAGGGTTAAGACTGAGAAGATGGGATTGTATGGTAATGGGGATTATCTACCTATTCCCATCCAGGAATAAAGTGCAGAGGAGTGGGAATGGGACTGAGGAGATGGATTTCGGAGCAGAGCAATGGTAACAGGAGAGGTAGATTGCCGTAGCAATCCTTGGCATGTCATAGAAAAGTAATTGAAGAAAAATCTAGGTAATGGAATTAAAAATCATTAAATCAAAGCACAGGCATTTAGCCAGGTTAGCCTGCACCAGCCTGTTGTGGAGGTGTTAGTGTTGGACTGGGGTGGACAAGGTCAGAAATCACACGCCACCAGGTTATAGTCCAACAGGTTTATTTGAAAACGCAAGCTTTTGGAGTCTTACTCCTTCTTCAGGTGTTAGTGAGAGAGATAGTATCCAGAACACAATTTATAAGTAAAAGATCAAAGGGTCACACCACTGATGAGGATGTACTAAAGAAAACCAAGATGCTGTTAAATCTTTAATCTTTAATTGATTAAGATGTATATGTAAATCCACAAATTCCTTTGAAATCACTGTCCTGAGAGAACTAAAGGTTTTATCAGTTAAGGAAGAGGTGACATTTTAGGTCAGACAGTGCATGTTACGTGTCAGGCCTTGTTTAGAATCTTTTGTGTTTTGGTTTGGAGTCAGACTAGTTTTATTTTTAAAGTAGAAATTTATAAAACACCACATTGACTGACTGTTCTCTCTCTCTCACACACACACACGTGTATCTTTGGGTGGATATGCATTTGCAAATACATTCTATTTAGTTCAAAAAGCACACAATTTATAGACAGTCAATTTACATATACATATCAATCAATTAAAACCTTCTAACTGATTAAAGATTTAACAACATCTTAGGTTTGTTTATTACATCCTCATCAGCGGTGTGACCCTTTGATCTTTTACTTATAAATTCGTTCTGATACTACCTCTCTCACTAACACCTGAAGAAGGAGAAAGACTCCGAAAGCTTGCATTTTCAAATAAACCTGTTGGACTATAACCTGGTGTTATGTGATTTCTAACCTTGTACCAGCCTGTAACATAAGATCTGTTACTAAATTACATATTATCATTAAGTTTAATACAGTCTAATCTCATTAAAAATTTCTGGCATCCAAAGCCTTGGTTTCCCTAATCACAATAAAATTGACTTTTCAGCTGCCACTAGGATTTTTTTTAAACAAGAACCTATCCTCCCTTTCCATCATCCTAAACGGCCTTAAACAATCCTCCTAGATGAAGTAGTGATATGTTTATATTCTTTTGATTTGGTATATTGTATTTGCTGCTTACTATGGAGTGTCATCTTGATTTGAGAGACTGCTTTGGTGAACATCCCTGTTCAGTCTGTAAATATGTCCTTAAGCTTCTCACCACCCATCATTTTAATTCTCCATCCCACTTCCATTCTGACACCTCTGCCCTTGGCAACCTAATGCAGTGCAAGGAAGCTTGAGGAACAGCAGTTCAACTTTTGATTCAGCACTTCACAACCTTTCAGTCTCAATGATAGTAGGAACTGCAGATGCTGGAGAATCCGAGACAACAAGGTGCAGGGCTGGATGAACACAGCAGGCCAAGCAGCATCTCTGCTCCTATGATCGTGCTTGGCCTGCTGTGTTCCTCCAGCCCTGCACCTTGTTCTTTCAGTCTCAGTACCTAGTTCACCAGTTTTGGATCCTATTTTATTGGATACCAGCTGCTGATAAATGATTCTGCTGTTTCCACTCTATCACTACCATACATTTTATTTGTCCTTTAAACTCTCCTGCCTTCAACTTCATTCTCCCTACCCTTCCACATTGTTCACCTGCTTAAAATCTGTTATATTTCTATCTTTTTCCCTTGTTTTGATGTAAAATCATTGACTTGAAACATTAACTCTGTTTTTCTTCAAAGATACAGCATGAACTGCTGAGTATTTTCAGTACTTTGTCTTCTTTTCAACAAATACCTTTATGACTGAGATTGAAGGAGTGCACTGTCGGTCAAGTCTCACTACTCCATAGGTCACAATGAAACATAAAAGTACTTTTTAAAGTTACCCAGATGACCTAAGATATAACTCTCCTACACCAAGTCTTAAACAAAATCCACCAACCAGATTTCTTAATAAACAAAATTATTAGTTTATAATCAACATAAAAATCAAAATCATTCAATAAAGATGTAATAATTGGTTAACATGCACAGTCAATAATACAGAAGTTTTAAATGCTTATCACTCTAAATATCCTCAATATACACACACCTTTCAAATAAAGAGAAGAAAAGACAGATTTCTCTGTAAAGATTTGCTTTCTAAAAAGAAACACTTTGGCTGATGGGTTCTTCTTAAAGACACAAAGGACAAAAAGTGTAGAATGTTCCAAAGTCTGTTGCTCTGAGTCGATAATAATTCATGGTTGTCTCAAGTCTTACAGACATGTCTGACTCAGAAAACATAACCTTGAGATACTTTTTTAATCACTCTTTCAACAGAGCAAATAGATTTCATCCTGAACTCAACAAGAGTGTTTAATTTTCAAGAATGAGAAAATTCAGCTAGGCAACTTGTTCTTAGTCTGCTTTCCTCCAACTTAGCTTGTTCTTTTCAGGCTTCCCTCTGACTGAACCGAATAAAACAAGGATCTTCTGCAAGTCAATCGCTGCTCGAAACAGCCCCAGTGGAGTTCTACAGCAAAGCAAGCAGTTATTACATGTCATGTGATTTACAGGAGGCCTTGTTTAAAAAAAAATCTCCAGTGTCCAAGTGAACTTTCAATGCTCTCTTTAAAAAAAATTCAGTCTGGGTATTTCCACAGACCTAAATAAATCCATTTCCCACAATGCTTCAAACTTAAGTCGTCCAAACAATATTAAGTATAAAACGTCTTCATAACAGTACTTGGACATATACAGTTCACTTACTGAATGAGGACCCCTTGACAATCAGTACTTACCCACTGGCCCTTCATGAGACACGGTCTGCATACTGAATGATAGTTCCTTGTCTGGATTCTTCAACAACTCCTTTCGCTTTGAAAAAGCTTTAGCAATCATTTTACTCTTCTTAATTCGTTTTGGCTCATCATCGCTTCGGCCGATAATTCTGAAAATACAGAAGTCTTTCAGTTCCTATTGAACAGCTGGTTTACCTGCGAGGGGCTGTTCCTGGCTCTCCTATCAGTAAGATAACTATGACAGAGATGTAACTTTTAAACTACTACTTGGGACTGAAATTCAGACTGAGCTCCTTGTGCTGTCACTGTGGAGAATACACGATCACTCTGAAGCCTGAGGTCTACCCAGATTCTTCGTCTGCTCTGGGAGCCAGTTCATTTCTGGATTGTATTCACTTGCTGAGAGCAGCACTGCCTGTATTCGATAACTGTAACCAATCAGATCACCAGTAAGAGCTAGTAGGAACTGCTGATGCTGGAGAATCTGAGATAACAAGGTGTAGAGCTGGATGAACACAGCAGGCCAAGCGGCATCAGAGGTGGTTAAAATTGTTACAGAGATAGTAGGAACTGCCGATGCTGGAGAATCCGAGATAACATGGTGTAGAGCTGAATGAACACCTGAGATAACAAGGTGTAGAGCTGGATGAACACCTGAGATAACAAGGTGTAGAGCTGGATGAGCTGTAAGGGCTGTTGTAGTAAGTGATAGTGTTCGTACCTCTGAGCCGAGAGGCCCAGATTCAAGTCCCATCTGCTTTAGAGGCATGCAATAACATCTCTGAACGGGTTGGTTAGAAAATATATCCTTGTCACCTTGTCTGCCATTTAAGTCCAAGTAAGATACATGAATAGGAAAGGTTTAGGGGGGACAGGGGCCAAATGCAGGCAAATGGGTACACAGTTTGGATAACTTGGTCAGCATGGACAAATAGTCCATTTCCTTTCAAGCTTGATGACATCCTGCACTATAGATATCAACGTTTTTACACAAGATTTTTCAACATTTCTTTTAAAAAGTCTCCATACACTGTCAACAAACTGCTCGATATTGAGAGTGTTCTACCTACATCTCCACTATTGAGAACAGAGCGTCCTGATATTATAGCATTAAACACAATGCATTTCTTCAGATCATTGACTCTTGGCAGGTAAATGACATCAGGCTTTGAAACTGGAACACAACATGCCACACCAATAGGTGTGTATGTTTAACCCTTCACATCAGTGAGATCTCAATCTCAGCCAACTTGCTGAAGGGAGCTGCTGAGTGAATAGAAGGAATTTTCCATTTGGCCAGAGGGCTTAAAGGATTAAAAATGACAGGTTGCTTAGACCTTGTAACTCTACGTTTAGGAGACAATAAGATATAATTGAGATAATGATGATGATTAAAAGAGCTCCTGTGATAGGCAGGATAGGGAAATTCTGAAACTTGTTGAGACTGGGAGGCAATAGAAAATGTTCAAAACAGAGATTGATTATTTTTTGTTAGGTAAAGGTAGTAAAAGTTACAGAACCAACGCCAGGTACTGTAGTTGGAGCTAGAATGCCAGTCAAGCCACAATCAAATGGTTGAATAGGCTAAAGAGACTGAATAGCCTACTTCTGTTTCTTTACCCAAACAAAGATTTTCATTAACATAGCACATTTCATGACCGCTGAATGTGTCACTCTACAACTAACGAAATACTTTCAAAATGTCGTCATTGTTGTAACTTAGGATATGCAGCTTCTAATGAGAGCACGCAAAACTCTCACAATTGGACAATAAACAGACGATTGTTTTTGTGATGTTATTGGAAGAATAAATATTGCCTAGGATGTTGGTAATAACTCCTTTGCCCTTCTTCAAAAAAGTGGAGTAGAATTTGAACCGAGAACCTTGTGATTCAGAGGCAAGAGTGCTGATAACTGACACAGCATTAATACAGCTATACCTACCTACTATTAGAGGCCTGCTTGTCCCAGAGGGGACCTTGAGGCAGCCTGCTACAGGAATTTGTTTTCCCCATTCATCAAATGTGGTAGGAGATATACCAGGAGAGAGATATTACACAAAATAATAAAGGAAATAAATCTTAGTCTTGCCAATTCTAATGTTTCAGTTAGTCCATTATCTGAGTGAATTCTGATACCTAAACCATGTCCTTTTCCATATTAAGATTGTAGCTTTGGTCCAGACCCAGGTACTCATTGCAATGCCTGTCCCAAACACTGCAAATATGTTTATCTTTTCCACCAGAAGGCTAGGGCGATTCTTGATGCTACATTCAGGGATTGGAGTGTTGGTTTGCTCAGCAATAGAGACATTGGCTTCACACCTGAGGGTTGAAATGCAAAGTCAAATCAGATACAAAGATGCATTTTAAATAAAGCACAGACGTGCAATATGCAAGTTGGTCTGAAAAATGCAAACAAATCTACACAAACCAAGCACAATCCAATGAATATAACTGACATACATAAAAATTCAAGCAATCAAAACACTAAGTACTGATTTAACCAATAGATCTCAACATATTCATGCCTTGCAATAAACCAAACTATAACATATCCTCTACTTATGGTGCCATCTACAATCATAATCATGGTTATCTCCTTGTTTAAGATCGAAAACTAATGCTGAATATCAAAAGGGTTTGCACTTAAGAGCTATTTTCATGATCTTCATGTGCCCAAAAACTTTAGTCAATCAAATACTGTCGTATTATAATGAAGGATAGCAGGCATTTTGTGCCTAGTAAGGTCCCACAACATTAATGAGATAGATAACCAGATAAATGTTGGCCAAGGTTTGAGGGAGAAATCCTCTATTCTTCATTGAATAGTACTACAGAATCTTTTACATCTGCCTGAGACCAGGCCTCAAATTGCCTAGTGGTATTATTGCTGGATTGTCAATTCAGAGACCCAAGTCTGGAGACCTGGGTTTGAATCCCTCCAAGGCAGATGGTGGAGTTTGAATTCAATGAAAATCTGGAATTAAGAGTCTAATGATTACCATGAATCCATTGTCGATTGTCAGAAAAACCTATCTGATTCACCAATGTCCTTTGGGGAAGGAAACTGCCATTCAGACTCCAGACCCACAGCAATGTGGTTTACTCTTAACAGCCCTCTGGACAATTAGGGATGGGCAATAAATGCTGGCCTGTCCAGTGATGCCCTTATGCCATGAATGAATTTTTTAAAAATTAACAATGTATCCAAGATACAATGCCTCCAGTGGTGCAGAATTTCCTCTCCCCAGTACTGCAATAAAGTGTCATCCTAGATTATGTTTTCAAGACTCTAGAGTGAAGTTGAATGCAGAGGTAAAATGTTACCAATCAGCAATGGCTGACAACTGACGTATAAATTATTTAATACATTCAAAACAGGAAATTCAGCATTATCAGTTGCTTCCTTTCCTCAATGTGATATAAGTGCTAACTCTATGGCACTATTTCAAAGAAGAGGAGGAGAGATATGCTCAGAATCCTGGCCAATATTTTTACGTCAATCAATAATCACCATATAAAAAAAAACAGATTTTCTGGTCATAATCACATCGTTGCTTGTGGCGGTATGCTGTGTACAAAATTGGCTGTTGCACTTCCTACTTTACAATAGTGACTACACTTTAAAAGCACACTTTGTGACATTCTGTGGTCCTAAAAACGGCTACATAAATGCAAATAGTTCTCATTTCTTCCCTTTACAGAAGAAACCACACAAACACAAATCTGGCCACAAATGGACCCTAAGATCTAGGAATGGAAATATGCTTCACAAACACCTAATTTGTATGTACAGTTAGTCAGTCCATTGTTTTACATCCAATTGCTGATTTTCAAAGATCTGAGGGAAATGAGGTTGCAAGGGATAGTGGAAAATGTATCCAATATGGTGACCTAAAGGGACTCTCAAAGGCTTGTATAGACTGTGTAAGTATGGAAATTCCTAATTTCCAGGATTTAACTATGAGCCTTCACTGAATCAATCACCCAAAGCTAATGGGTTCTACTTCAGAGCCTAAAATGAACTGAAGGAGGTAGGGTCACTTACAGAACATAGTCACGGAAACTCCTCTCCCAGTCAGCCTGGTTAAAGAAATCATAGAAATGGCATCCAAATGTGATGAAGACAAAGCCAAATGCCAGGAATCCAAAAATGCCTGATAAGTAAAACTCAAGCCATTAAACACCACATACTTTGCAGACTTGCAAGAGAATACAGAGACACATGTACACACAGACATGGTTATCAGCAGCTGAACTGAGTTACATAGCAATGATACATGTTTTCTTCTACCCAAAGGTACAGTCATCCTAAGTTTCTTTCCTATACCTGCAATTGCGAAGACTGAAAAACAGATGATAAAGATCTTTGCCACCACTTTTAAAACTGAATATGAATTCAGGCACATTTTCTTTAGTAAATTATAATGCCTGTACAGAATGAATGGGCAGTGCAGATTAAAATAGAAGGGGGACGCTTCCTGAGTTTGAAGCAATGCATTGACGATAAAGTTTATCAATGGTAAGAAAGATATTGCTCAGTGAAGGCTACAATGGGATGGGCAGGCAAACTGATTCTTGGGTCTCTCACTGCCTGAAATACCTTAATATGTTGGTTATCTCCAGTATCCAGTCCCATAAAGACAGTCTGGAGGTTTATGAACAGGCTGCAATCTAGCGAGAAGAAGTAGAGCATGGAGGAAACAGGAAAAAACCCACAAAACATACTTTATTCTTACAACATAGCTAAAATACCTCTTGGTGTTGCTAGTTCTGGTTGGGCATATTCCTGGAGGTATCTCTATACAACTGTCCAAATTCCACCCATCCTCACAGCACTTTGCCTTCCCAAATCCAAATAGAAATACAATTTACTCTTCGATATCGATTGGATAATTCCTCACTGTCAAGCAACCTTCAAGCTAATATTCTTATAACAATAACCAGATGTGTAAAAATTCATTTTAAGCACACATTTTTTGTGTGCTCTCTCTGGAGCTGCTGGAGCAAGTGGCTGGGAGATTAATTCTTAATTTCTGCAGTCCGCAGGATAATCCTGGAAGATTGACAGCCCAACTCTGAGTCTAAACAGGACAAATGAAAAGATAGGAACATTTTGCCAAAAACAAACTCATAAAACATGGCTTTTAACTAATTCCATTCATACCACCCCAAATAAAATGGCAACCAAACATTTATCAAGCAACATTCTACATTAGTCACCACCTCATTCGTATGGTAATCACATAGGGTTTCCAACTCTGGATGTTTCAAAATATGACCTCCTGCTGTCAACCCATGTCATCGGTTCATGCTCCAATTCAATCCCACATTCAACTGGAGAGCAAACAAGCTCTCGATGAATCAACTGAATCAGTCAGTCATGGACTTGTCAAAAGCATTTTCTCCTCATTTCCAATATTATTACAATTAATAAAACAAAAATATTCAAAGACATTTTGAAAAAAAATTTTTCCTAGTTTTGCTCCAGGCAAATTGCTGGAGATTAATAAAGAACAACAAACAGTACAGCACTGTTTTATGAACCGGACCAGACCCCCCAAAGTGTATTATGGAGATAGCCTAGACCCTAAGCTTTTATACTTTTAAAAAGGTAAGTTTAAGGTGTTGTGTTCCAGATAAGATTGGATTGGTCCACCACAAACCACCCTTTATTCTTACAACACAGCTAAAATACAACAAAAAGAATTGACATAACTTTACTCTATTGAAATACTTACGATAATGTGTCATTTAACCACTAATCGTCAACTGTTCTAATATAGGCAACATACCATAAACACACCCTTGGCAAAGGCAATTCAGCAACACAGTTATTAATCTCACGTGCTGTATCTCTCCTATCCGCCCTTCTGATTTTTTAAGAGGAAGCTTCTCTATCTACAACTTAGTTCTAGCTGCAGTGAACTCAAGCTGTCAAGTCCTGCAGCCAGCAAAACCCATCAACTAACTGAAAGCAAAACTAAAGTTCTTGGGGTCTGTGTGAGCCTTACCTCACCCACTCATGATACTTTTGTGTTAAAAAAAACACTCAGGGAGAACTCAAAGCTGTTTATCAATTGCCTGTCTGAAGGAGTCATTTTGGTACCATTGTGACAACACGCCCTGCAAGAGAAACAGAACCAAATACATCTCATAAAGGCACAGTATCGCTACAAAAGAAACAAGCCATTTAGCCCACGAAAACTATTGACACATGGTGCCTTTCTAAACTAAAACAAAAATGCCTCTATATTGTCAGTATCCCTCTATTCCCTAGCTATTCATTTATCTGTCAAGATGTCTCTTAAATGTTGCTATTGTATCTGCCTTCACCACCTCCTCTAGCAGCACATTCCAGGCAAATCTTCAATTTCTGAAATGCTGACAATCTGTAGTTACATCCCAAACAAAGGAAACTTCAAGTTACACAGCAGAGAATTAGCATTTTTTTTAATATAAAGCAGCGAGTCCTTGTGCTGTACAGCCCTTACCAAGACGGAGCATTGTTTCATTGATTTTACTGGCTGCTTTCTCACTCAGGAGCCCGGGATGGTTACTTTTAATTGAAAATAGGGTCATGACACCTGTAAAAGAAATAGTAGGCAACTGAAATGAGGCTGCAATATTTAGAAGATAAGAACATAAGAAATGGGAGCAGGAGTAGGCTATTCAGCCCCTCAAGCCTGCCCCCACCATTCTATAAATTCTTGGCCGATCTGCCCCAGGCCACAACTCCTCTTTTGTGCCAATTCCTTATAGCTCTCACTTACCTGATATTTCAAAAATCTATCTCCCTTCTGTAATTATTTTCAGTGATCTAGCTTTCACAACTATCCGGGGTAAAGAATTTCAGACATGCACCAGCATCTGACGGAAGAAATTCTTTAACAGTTTTCAATGAATGTCCTCTCTTTTTTTCCTATAATATGTCCCCTAATTCGAGATTCCACCACTAATGGAAGTATCTTAAAATCTACCCTGCCAAGCCTTCTTAGAACTGGATATGTTTCAATAAGATCACCCCTCATTCTTCTCAACTCAAATGAATAAAGGACCAATGTGATCAGCCATCCCTGATGCATCAACTCATCCAAGCAAGTAATTAGTCTACGTAATCTCTATTGAACCGCTTCCAAGGCTATTGTACAATTTTTTTAAAATACAGGGGCCAAAACTGCACATGGTTTTTTTTATTCATTTATGGGATGTGGGTGTCACTGGATGGCCAGCATTTCTTGCCCATCCCTAGTTACCCTTGAGAAGGAGGTGGTGAGCTGCCTTCTTGAACCGCTGCAGTCCACCTGCTGTAGGTTGACCCACAATGCCATTAGGGAGGGAATTCCAGGATTTTGATGCAGCGACAGCGAAGGAATGGCAATACATTTCCAAGTCAGGATGGTGAGTGGCTTGAAGGGGAACTTGAAGGTGGTGGTCTGCTGCCCTTGTCCTTCTAGGTGGCTGTGGGTTTGGAAGGTGCTGTCTGAATATCTTTGGTGAATTTCTGCAGTGCATCTTGTAGATAGTACACACTGCTGCTATTAGGTGTCGGTGGAGGAGGGAGTGGATGCTTGTGGACGTAGTGCTAATCAAACAGGCTGCTTTGTCCTGGTGTCAAGCTTCTTGAGTGTTGTTGGGCTGCACTCATCCAGGCATGTGGGGAGTTATCCATCACAATCCTGACTTGTGCCTTGTAGAATGTAGACAGGCTGTGAGGAATCAGGAGGTGAGTTACTCACCGCAGTATTCCTAGCTTCTGACCTGCGCTGGTAGTCACTGTTTATGTGGTGAGTCCAATTGAGTTTCTGGTCAATGATAACCCCCAGGATGTTGATAATGGGGGATTCAGTGATGGTAACACCATTGAATGTCAAGAGGTGATGGTTAGATTGTTTCTTATTCATGATGGTCATAGCGTGAATGTCACTTGCCACTTGTCAGCCCAAGCCTGGATATTGTCCAGATCTTGTTGCATGTGAACATGGACTGCTTCAGTATCTGAGGAGTCACGAATGGTGCTGAACGTTGCGCAATCATCGGCTAACATCTCCACTTCTGACCTTATGATGGAGGGAAGGTCATTGAAGAAGCAGCTGAAGATGGTTGGACCTAGGACACTATCCTGAGGAACTCCTGCAGAGATGTCCTGCAGCTGAGAGATTGACCTCCAACAACCACAGCCATCTTCCTATGCGCCAGGCATGAGTCTAACCACTGGAGATTTTGCCCCGATACCCGTTGATTCCAGCTTTGCTAGGGTTCCTTGATGCCACACTCGGTCAAATGCAGCCTTGATGTCAAGGGCTGTCACTCTCACCTCACCTCACCTCTGGAATTCAGCTCTTTTGTCCATGTTTGAACCAAGGCTGTAATGAGATCAGGAGCTGAGTGGCCCTGGCAGAACCCAAACTGGGCGTCACTCAGCAGGTTATTGATTGAGGGTAGACTGATGGGGTGGTAATCGGCCGGGTTGGATTTGTCCTGCTTTTTGTGCAGAGGACATACTTGTGCAATTTTCCACATTGTCAGGTAGATACCAGGGTTGTAACTGTACTGGAACAGCTTGGCTAGGGGAGCGGCAAGTTCTGGAGCACAAGTCTTCAGTACTGTCGCCGGAATGTTGTCAGGGCCTGTAGCCTTTGCAGTATCCAGTGTCTCCAACCGTTTCTTGACATCACGTAGAATGAATCGAATTGGCTGAAGACTGGTACCTGTAATGCTGGGGACCACTGGAGGAGGCAGAGATGGATCATCCACTTGGCACTTCTGGCTGAAGATTGCTGCAAATGTTTCAGCCTTATCTTTTGCACTAATGTGCTGGCTTTCGATCATTGAAGATGGGGGATATTCGTGGAGCTTCCTCCTCCAGTGAGTTGTTTAATTGTCCACCACCGTTCACGACTGGATGTGATAGGACTGCAGAGCCTAGATCTGATCTGTTGGTTGTGGGAACGCTTAGCTCTGTCTATTACTTGCTGCTTTTGCTATTTGGCATGCAAGTAGTCCTGTTTGTTGGCTTCACCATGTTGATACCTCATCTTGAGGTATGCCTGGTGCTGATCCTGGCATGCCCTCTTGCACTCTCCATTGAACCAGAGTTGATCCCCTGGCTTGATGGTAATGGTTGAGTGGGGGATATGCCGGGCCATAAAGTTACAGATTGTGCTGGAGTATCATTCTGCTGCTGTTGATGGCCCACAGTGCCTCATAGATGCCCAGTCTTGAGTTGCTAGATCTGTGCGAAGTCTGTCCTATTTAGCACGATGATAGTGCCACACAACACGATGGGAGTTATTCTCAATGTGAAGGCGGGACTTCGTATCCACAAGGACTGTGCGATGATCACTCTTTCTGATACTGTTATGGACAGATGCAACTGTAGCAAGCAGATTGGGAAGGATGAGGTCAAGTATATTATTTCCTCTTGTTGCACCACCTGCCAGAGACCCAGTCTAGCAGTTATGTCCTTTGGGACCCGACCAGCCTGATCTGTAGTACTGCTGCTGAGCCACTTCTGGTGGTGGACATTGAAATACCCCATCCAGAGTACATTTTGTTCCCTTGCCATCCTCAGTGCTTCCTCCAAGTAGTGTTCAACGTGGAGGAGTACTGATTCGTCAGCTGAGGGAGGATGGTATCTGGTAATCAGCAGGTAATCAGCCCATGTTTAACCTAAAGCCATGAGACTTCATGGGGTCTGGAGTCAATGTTGAGGACTCCTAGAGCAACACCCTCCTGACTGTAAACTGCTGTGCCACCACCTCTGCTGGGTCTGTCCTGCCCGTGGGACAGGACATATCCCGGGATGGTTCGCTTAACTAGTCTGAAAGACATCTCTCCCAGATGTTAGTGAGGAGGACTTTGCAGGGCTGACAGGGCTGTTTCTGCCGTTGCCTTTTCCAGTGCCTAGGTTGATGCCAGGTGATCCTTCTGGTTTCATTTTGCTGAGACTTTGTAGCGATTGGTACAATTGAGTGGCTTGCTAGGCTATTTCAGAGGGCAATTGAGAGTCAACCACATTGCTGTGGGTCTGGAGTCACATGTAGACCAGACCAGGTTAGGATGGCAAATTTCCTTCCCTGAAGGACATTAGTGAACTAGATGCTGACAACTGGCAATAATTTCATGGTGATCAGTAGATTCTTAATTCCAGACTTTTAAAAAAATTATTGAATTCAAATTCCACCATTGCTGTGGTGGGATTCAAACCTGGGTCCCCAGAACATTAGCTGGGTTTCCAGATTAATAGTCTAGCAATAATACCACTATGCCATCATCTATCCTACGGTACATCAAATGCAGCCTCATGAACATTCTGTACAGTTGTGATAAGACTTCCATATTTTTAAATGTCAACTGGTTAGTGAAGAAGGTCAAAATTCTATTTGCATTTTTATTTGCTGCAACTGCATGCTAATATTTTCTGTTTCATGCACAAAGACATCCAGATCCCCCTCCACAGTTTTTTTTTGTTTTGAGAGACTGTCTCCATTTAAATGATAGTTTGCCTTTTTATTCTTCCTACTAAAGTGCATGACCTCACACTTTTCTACATTAAGCTTCATCTGCCAAGTTTTTTTCCCCACTTACTGAAACAACTGTATCCCCTTGCAGATTGACCATAAAATTGTAAGAAATATGAAATAACTCCAAAGGCCGGTATCCCGCCAATATGTCACCCTTTATTTACACATGGAAAGTCCTTGACACTGATCCAGCTCCCTTCTGAAGAAGGGTTACCGGAGCCAAAACATTTAACTCTGATTTTTCCTCAAAGATGCTGCCAGACCTGCTGAGCTTTTTCAGCAACTTCTGTTTTTGTTCCTCAGAGTGAACAGCATGTCTGATACTCCTGTTCTTACCTGTCAGATTGGGCCCCCTGATTGGACCAGTTAATCTGGTCCAATCAGGAAACTCATAATCTATGATGTCCACCTGGCTGACCTTGTTACAATCATTATACCTCTCTGTCTCGGAGTCTGAGGACGCAGGCCAGTTCTTTTCCTTGTAGCTCCTCGTGGGGCGTTTTAGCATTGGGTCAGGTTCCTCAGTTCTGCATTGAATACCGCACATTACACACTGCCCGTAGCTTGCCTCTTACGCCTGGAGGGTACTGGAAGAAATTCATTCTTTTCTTCAGGCAGCAAAGGCATCAAGACAACGATATCTGCCATATCCATTCTCACATTCCAAGGTCTCTTCAAAGCCTGACAGAGAGGGAGAACCCACAGATTCCGCCAGCCTTTCCAACTGTTCCGAGGAACCAGGCACGATTTGCTGTTGCCCAGTTTGAGAACTTGCAGCTTTTGTATGGTCCACATACTTGATCAGGACCACTGCACCTACCCAAACTTTATATGTCACTCGACCTGACCTTGCATTGACCATGCCACTTATCCATAATGGGCCATTCCTGTGGTTCCTACACTAAACTTCATCCCTTGAAGGAAATTATCTCTCTCGCTTAGCGGAGTCTAGTGTCCAGCATTGGCATTCCTGATGCCGTCTTCCCCCACCCCCGCCCAAGAAGATCAGCTTTAACTTGCTGTGGAGTCATCTCTCCATTAGCAACTCTGATGGAGCTATC